TAGGATTTGAGTGGGTCGTCCATATTAAGTCAGTCTGCGGATCAACTAGTTCTGAATGCGCTTACTGATTAAACAGTGCTTCATTTTAACAGTGACGTAATCTAGAGTAGAGTAATCTCGCGTACATACTGTATATCACGTGATTTACAAGTACTTGATAACGGAGTCGATTTGTCACAAAGGTCGCCGCCGGCCAACCCAGCACTATCACTGCAAACTTCGAAGCGACAAACATGTCCCTCCCGTCTCCAATTGAAAACCCAGAGGTTAAATTCACCCAGGTAAGCAGTTAACTTGGAGTATTTAGTGACGGAGCTATCAAAATGATGGAAGTCAATTACTGATTTGGTCCATTTTGTTCATCAAGCTGTTAAATTGTCTGAGTCATTATTGTCTCTGAGTGAAGGACTATACACACTGGTATTTGATTTTGTTGCGAAAACAAGGTGAAATTAGCCTTCTATAAGATCTATTTCACATCATGCGATATGAATACAATACACCTAATTGTATCAGTATGATGTGATACACAATATACCTACACTGCAGCAACATGACGTTTTGAGAGATTGTCAACGTGACAACCTGAATGTTACGTAAGAAACCACCGCGCCCAAGATGGCCAATTAACAGAATTGTTTCTAATTGGCCCATACTAGGACCCACTACAGGTATGATGTTCAAAGTACTCAAAGTAGTCTACCTGTGCTGGGCTGACAGTCGGTTGCCACACACTCTCGTATCTGACCATGCCCACATTCAGCGCTTGGCTGAACGCTAGGCAGTACGTGCATACAGTATGATCCAAAACAATCTATCACCGATTTAGTATTTATGTAGCCAAATGTTCACAAGCAGTATGCCACCTTGTTCGTGTTAAAATTTCTTGTCTGTTTATAGGCAGCAATCTGTTACTCTGTTAGCAGAGAGAAAAGATGATCTTCTATAAATGACTCTCTATACTGTCACAGTGTGAGTTAACAAATATGTGCACAGATGTTGGGAAACATTAAAGACTACGAAAAACTATACAGAAACTTAAGTTTTTGCTGATTGAATCTGGGTCACCCTGTATTTGGAACAACAGTGATAAGTTCTTGCAAGTCATTCTACATGTACGCTTTTATTCAAACGCGTCAATTTTTGAACAGTACTGGTTTGTTTTGTTTCATACATGTTATCTTTACACTTTGCAGTCATTCGAAAGGCCTTAGCGTTGATAAACCGTTTTTGGCTGCTTGCACTTTCTCAGACGTGGAGCATTTAATATATTCTAACTTTTAAATCTGTTTTCCATCAAATTACACAATCACCCCTCCATACTACCGTATCTATATACAGTGTAGGTCAGGTCAGGATAACCCGCGCTGCAGTTGACGCACTGGTGGACCCAGAATTAGTGGGGCCAGGGGGGGGGGCAGGATTACAGACTTTTTGGGCGCATTCCCATAGATTTTAGATCGATCTATCCCCGTGGGGAGTCTCACTAAATTACTGTCAGATAATCTCGCTTTAATGTCCGTCCCGCCTACTACAAGCTGTAAGGGGTTAATTAACTTTCGTGCCCGCTCGGCTAACAGCTATTAAGCGTGAACCCCCAGGGAGTTAGGTCGATCTAGTTGGATCGATCTAATCTCTGGGAATGGGGTCTTTGCCTATCGAAAATAACAGACGAGGACAATTTCACTATAACATATAGGATGCAGGATTGGAAAATTGCTTGGTCATGTCTCAAATCGTCCGTTGTACTGTTTATTTTTGAGGGAGAAGAAGAAGAGTAGGTCACACTTGAAAATTAGGGAGGGGCAAGCTTTGCCTGCTGCTGGATCTATCATTGTGTTGACAGGTTCATGGCATTGGGTTGTGTGCTTGGGATAAGCTACATGTAGCTTGACTAAACTATACACAGTTTCAAAACCAAAAATCACAGGAGGAACGCAGACTTTATATCGTATGTATGCTGTGTATAAAATGAATAGACAAAAGTGATAGCAGTTTCAAATTAATTAACGTGGTTTCATGTGTTTGCATATATACATGATACATTTTATTTACTTGGAAGCCGCTCTCACAATTTCTACTTTTCAATTTTTTATGTCGTCAGATATTCATCAATAATGAATGGGTAAATTCTGCCAGCGGGAAGACTTTCCCCACCATCAACCCATCAACAGGTGAGAAGATATGTGATGTCCAGGAGGGAGACAAGGTAAACCATTTCCCCCGCTCTCTCTCTCTCAAACACACTCGCGCTCGCTCGCGCACGCATTCACGTACGCACACCACCACCACTTCCACAAACAACAACAACAACAAATGTCTAATGCAAACTTATTGGCCTATTGGTCCTTTGTATGGACTTTGAAATGACACTGTACAAATCATTTTTAAATACACCGACACTGTGCATATAGCTGTCTTACACAATCATCGTTGTCAATCGTTGAAAAGTATTGTCATGTTGTTCCCTCAGGCTGATGTTGATAAGGCGGTAAAGGCAGCACGAGAGGCCTTTAAACTGGGGTCACCATGGAGACGTTTGGATGCGTCCAAGAGAGGGGTACTTCTGAACAAACTGGCTGACCTGGTAATGAGGGACATGGTGTACATAGCGGTGAGTGACAGCGGTTGATTTTGATCATGAATTTGTTGTTAACGTCAATGTGTGCGTATCGAGTGCGCGGTCTCAAGTGTGTGCGTGCCTTTGGTTCGTGCTTGTGCTGTGTGCGCATGTGTGAGTGTGTGTGGTTGTGCGTCTTTGTCAAGCTTTGTCAACAATTTGGCATTCATGTATATCACTATATTAAAATACTTGTGCAATGTTTTATACTACTGTTGACGACAAATTTGAGAATCTGCACTGTCAAGCTGCACATGTAACTCCAACAGGGGCAAACCATGGTAATTTCTTTCAACATATTACATCTTTATAAACTCAACTTTAAGAGCCTGGAGGTGATGGACAATGGCAAACCGTTCACATACGCCATCGGCGACATGTACTTCACCGAGTCAATACTCCGGTACCTCGCAGGTTGGGCAGATAAGAATGTTGGACAAACTATTCCCGTTGGTAAGATTCGTCACACTTTAATAGCAAATTTTAAGCAATTACTGTCGTTATGTTGTATTTTCAAAGTTATGACATCTATGACAAAATTTGAAGCCTTGCAACTTCATGTTCGTTTTTGCGTATTACATACGTTTGTACAAATTACGAGCGCTCAATAAAGTTCTGCATACATAAAGCTATGTACATGTATTTAAACTTAAGTATATTATATTTAGTAGTGTAGAGAGCCTATAAATGTACACTTATTTCATGTGCTCAATAAATTATTATTATAAATGTTATTGCCGAATGTCATTATTGCTGATAACCACACTGTATTTCCAGATGGTGACCTGTTTGCCTACACTCGCCACGAGCCTATCGGAGTTTGCGGTGGAATCATTCCAGTAAGTAGGCAGGTTTAAGAAAATTAAAATTATGGATCATACGCACATTTTTCGAAAGTTGACTCGAATGTAATTTTCCTTGATAAAACAAATGAGTAGATAAGCACAACTGTGAAAATTTTGTTTTCATTTTAGTGGAACTTCCCTCTCCCATGCTTGGCCATGAAGTTAGCCCCGGCTGTGGCGTGTGGGAACGTGTGTGTTATAAAGCTTGCGGAACAGACACCGCTAACCGGGCTCTACCTGTGCTCTCTGATAAAGGAGGTACGACTGCTGCAAGGGCCTTTTTTCCGAATGCAGCTTTACACTACTATCATTTTCCTGATTATTCTACACGTAGATACCATGAGGTTTAAATAGTTCATATTATAACAGTCGAACTTATTTTATCGTTAAGTAATATTTGGGCATGAAAAATTTAAATAGTTCTTCAAACAAAAGTATCAAATGTTGAGACAGTAGGCTCTATATTATTTATTATTTTTCTTTCTAGGCCGGTTTCCCTCCTGGAGTTGTGAACATCATTCCTGGATACGGCCCAACTGCTGGCGCTGCTATATCGGAGCACATGGACGTGGACAAAGTGGCCTTCACTGGGTCAACTCAGGTACAAAACACGCCACAGGGTGTTCAGGATCACATACACTACTTTCTTTAATAGTCAGTTCATTAAATCACAACCCGTGGGTTGAAGTGATACATTTGATAAAGAACACAATAATAATATACTTTTAAGGGATAACCACTCTTCGTATGAGATTCATATTTCATAATGAATGCATTAAAAAAATTATATGTAAAACAATAAATTCTATTTTACCACCAAAACGACGGTTATCGCAATTTTTTTGGAGTCTGTGGAGTCATCGGACCACGTGACCTCTATAGATGGCTAGCTACTTAAGAGATTATTAAATACAAACAAACTTTAAAAAAAACATGGACTAACTGTGAATGTTGGAAGGGATTCATTTACCATTGGTAAGTATGGGAAATTGTCGTTTACCCCAAGAAAATCCCATTTTAGGGCAAAATGAACATTTGTCATATCTTTAAAATAAAGCATGGAATATAAAACAGCCACTGCTAAACAATATATTGCACATGTAAAGATCCATTAGGGATAAAAGTGCAGCTGGTGCCAGGTTTTTGATTTTGGCTAGGTGACCTTATAAAAGTCTGTTGGAGTGTTCATTTGAAATGTGGTTCAATTTTTCAGTCTCATTATTAAAACAAAAGAAAGCATTAATTGCTAAGGTATCCTATGTATTTTACCAATTCGCCAGACAGGAAGCATTCATAATGAAAATTGTGCATTGCTGTTATAGTCACTGCAGGTGATATCTAACGTTGTGGACACACCTGTCTTTCAGGTTGGCCAGTTGATTATGGAGGCAGCTGCTAAGTCCAACCTGAAGGGTGTTACTCTGGAACTGGGAGGCAAGAGCCCTTGTGTTGTGTTTCCTGATGCTGATTGTGAGTAAATCACACAACGGTGAAGTAAATTATTTAAAAAGTCACATATTCTAGATTGCACTGGGCAGCATACATGAAGGTCCTTCTACACAAGGATACCGTATACGATCTTTAAAACCAATGTAAAAATTATTTGCAGGCATGTAAGCTTGTTGTGAAGTGTTTGAAGATTTATTTTAAAAATGAAGTTGCAAGCAGCTTTGACAGATAAACAACCAACTGCAAGAAGTAACCCACAGATTTGGAACGTGCAGAGTTAGGAAACATACCCGAATAATCGGAGAGTGAACCGTTTTCCCTGGCGGTACTCAGTGTACAAAAATTGTGTAAGGAAATAATATATATATACAGGTGTAGCATAAACAGTACACTTATGTTTATTTATGATAAATGTTCCCCATTCTGTCACAGTGGACATGGCCATCCAGCGAAGCCACGATGGACTGTTCTTCAACTCGGGACAGGTGTGTGTCGCCGGCTCCAGGACATTTGTACACGAGGATATCTACGATGAGTTCGTGAAACGATCCACTGAGCTCGCCATTAAGAGAAATGTCGGAAACCCCTTTGAGAAAACCACTCAGTCCGGACCACAAGTATGCAGTGTTGTCGAATATTATTCCTTCTCATCTCGATTTCATCAATTCTTATGTTTTGTTAGTTTTTATTCATTCTAGTGAGTGATAAACCATCCTTTAAATACGCAGACTAATTCATTAAATACGTAGTCTGATTCTTCAAATACATGTAAGTAGTCTAACTACACAGAATGCAAAGTTGTCACCGCCAGTTTTCTTCTCTGTG